AATGACCATTTATATGGTACTGTCTATATCCCAGGAACACACATATACAGACTCATTTAATCCACGTTATTGACCTATTTCACATTTTAATTCAAATAGAAAGACAGGAGGGAGGGAAGGATGGGGAAAGAGGGAAAAGGGGATAAAAGAGAGAGAAAGAGAGAGAACAGAAAGTATCTATGAGGAGCCCTGTCATTCCGCTCAAAGAATATGTGAACACAGGCAGGAGAGGGGAAGGAGAATCAGCTCCCTTCTGATTCCCTCGTGATTCCCTAGGTGCGAGCATCTCATGTGCTAAAGATCAGTCTAGTGTTCAAGAATTTGCATTTTTCTTACAACCTGGTCCCTAAACATAAGCCAACTACCCGATTTGATTCTCAACCAAAGAAACAGCCCTTTCTTTCCATACTGAAATAAAAACTATCTCTGTTGGGCTAAGTGGAGGTATTTCTCTGAAATGACTGACAATTTAAAAAGATTTTATGATAATGAAACAACTCTTAGGAGGCCACACTACTTCCTCCTGTCATTTCGCAAACTATGTACCTTTCAAACCAGATCCTCAGCCCCAAACATGTCATTTTTGCTCCAGCTATGATTTGTAGATTCTACAGGCAGCTCAAGGGCATCATTAAACAAGTCTACCAAAGAGGATATAAATGTTGTTGCTGCTGAAGAATTGTAGCCTTGAATTCCTGAAATGATTTTATAGTTATGGTACTTCATAAAAGTGTTTAATAACAAACCTGGCTTACTTGGCAATTACCAGTCTAAAGGACTTTGCCCTAATTTGAGATGTGAGTTATGTTTATTTTAAAGAAAATATCTAATGATTTATTGAGAAGTTGGTATTTCTGCTAAAGATTCACAATCTCTCTTTTTTTTTTTTTTTTTTTTGAGACAGAGCCTCACCCTGCAGCCCCTGGCTAGAGTGCCCTGGCATCAACCTAGCTTACAGCAACTTCAAACTCCTTGTTCAAGAGATCCTTCCACTTCAGTCTCCTGAGTAGTTTGGGACTAGAGGCACCCACCACAACGTCTGGCTAATTTTTCAATTTTTAGTACAGACGGAGTCTTGCTGTTGCTCAAGTTGGTCTTGAGCTCCTGAGCTCAAGCAATCCTCCTGTGTTGGTTTCCCAGAGTGCGAGGATTTCAGGCATGAGCCATTGTGCCTGACCCACAATCTCTTTCGATCACTCTAAATGTAGGGCTAATAGTTTTATGATTCCACAATGCCATTAATCATCTAATTAAAGCTTCTGTTACTGATTCCTTGTTTGTCATATTGAGCGATCATCGTTTGTTTTTTGAAACAGAGTCTCACTATGTCACCCTTGGTAGATAGAATGCTGTGGCATCACAGCTCACAGCAACCTCAAACTCTTGGGCTTAAGCGATTCTCTTGCCTCAGCCCTCCAAGTAGCTGGGGCTACAGGCAGCTGCCGCAGCTCCTGACTAGATCATCATTGTTTTCTACCTATATCAGACAAATGAAAATGACCAATGTGAAAACTTAACACCCACAGACACATGTGCCTAAGGAAACTTCATGATTATGCCCCATTAACCATCCACAAATGGTTTGTGGCAATTTGTAGAATGAAGTACAGCAGCACTCAGCAATTTGTAGATCTGCAGGTTGATTGTTTAGACTGTAACGTGTACAGTACTTGCGTTTCAAAGTGTTTTTACTTACGTCTTTTGATCCTTAGACTTACAGAGTCTAAGTTATTAGTATCTGGAATCAGGCTACCTGGGTTTATTATATTTTAATTCTACCACTTTACTGGCCATGTAATGGTGTGCAAGTTATCCAATCCCTCTGTTCTTGCATTTCTCCACCTATAAAATGGGGCTATCACAGAACCTACCTCCGGATTTAGGGTTACTGTGAAGATTAAATGAGCTAAGACTTGTACAGAATGTAGAACAATGCCTCTGGCATAGGAAACAGTCAATAAAATTTAGCTACTATAGATACTATCCGCCGCCCCACATTTACGACTGTAAATGCCTCTAAATACTAAAGCTAGGACCTAAACCCAGGTCTGATGGACTTCAAACTTTGGCCTCTTTTCCTAACTCCATGATGCCTTTTTTATTGAATATAAGAAGTCAGGTATTCTCATTGAGGACTTCTAGGAGGAAAAAAAAAAATCTTTCTTTTTCTGTCTTAAAAAGAGAGAGCAGTTTTTCATCCACTTTCGGGGTGAGATGCATCTTTTTTTTTTTTTTTTTCAGTTTTATTTCTGTCTGATGAATCATCCTTGTTGGAATGAGGAAGAAAGAAAGTTAAATGAGAGCAAAATAAGGTAAGAATGAACAATGAAGATTGGCTGAGAAGATGTTACAGAGGCTATGCGTTGGAAAAGGGGGGATTGAGTCACCAGCTCCTGCAGGTTAACTTACTTGTTGAGATTTTTATGCTTTGGCTCAGGAAAAGCCTCCGAAAAGAGGATAACGCCATCATTATTACACTTAAATATTTGTTTCAGAGAGTAAAAATATGAACTCAAGACAGTCTAACAGCATTCCTACAGGAACCAAGATCTATGGTCTCTGATGGCATTTAATTATTATTTTCTCTCAAGTCTAATTTCTCCTGTTTTCTCTGTAATTTTCTCCTCCATTTACCCTTCTTTTCCTTTTATTTTTATCCAAACATTTCTTGTACTTCAGTAAAATTTAGCTCTTGGTGATTGTGGGTGATGGGTGAGTGGGCGATCTTTTCTTCTTCTTTCCTTTTTTTTTTTTTCTTTATTTTAGAGACAGGGTCTCAGGCTTTGTCACGCAGGCTGGATACAGTATCTCACTCTGTCTTCCAGGCTAGCCTGCAGTGACACAAGTTTATAGCTCACTGCAACTTCAAACTCCTGGTCTCAAGGGATCCTCCCACCTCTCAGCCTGCCAAGTAGTTGGGATTACAAGTGCATGCCACCATTCCTGGCTAATTGTTCTTATTTTTGTAGAGACAGAGGTCTCACTATGTTGCTGGGCTGGTCTCTAACTCCTGGCCTCAAGCGATCACACCTCCTTGGCCTCCTGAGTAGCTGGTGATTAAAGAGTGATTACGTAAAGAGAAGCTTTTTCAGGGGAGCCTACCTAGGACCTCCATGTAGCTAGATCCTCACAGCACGGGATCAGTGCCATATTTTGTTGTTTTTCACAAAGATCTCCCTTTCTCCCTGACAGAAGGAAAGAAAAATGGAGACAATTCCCTACATCTTTCAGGATAAGATCTCAACTCCTCAGTGGACACAGGTGACTCTCCACCTTTGGCCTCTGCCCTCTCTCTCCTTAGTTGTAGCTACACTCAAGTCTTCAGTTTCCAAACCAGAGACTTGCTGCCTTAAGATTTTTGCATAAGCCATTATCCCCAACTGGAAT